TCTCTCTCTCTCTCTCTCTCTCTCTCTCTCTCTCTCTCTCTCTCTCTCTCTCTGTGTGTGTGTGTGAATGGACTCCTCTGTGTAAGTGGAGACCAAAATGTCCATTTTGGATATCATCTTCTGTCACAATTTTTACACTTTTTATATTTATTTTATTTTATGTGTATGAATGTTTTGTCTGCATACACATATGTGCACTGTGTGTGAGTGTGTGTATGATGCCTTCAAAAACAAGAAGAGGACATTAGCTTGAAACTGAGTTACAGATGATTGTGAATCACCCTGTGGGTGCTGGGAATTGAATTCGGGTCTTCTTCAAGAACACATGCTCTTAACCATGTGTATGTACCATCTCTCTAGCACCCTCTGTCTTATTTTTGAGACAAGGTCTCTCATTGACCCTAGAGCTTATCTAGACTGGCTAAGTCAGAGAGTCGACAGTATCCACTGGCTCCTATTCCTCCCTCCCCAGTGCTGAAATTCTAGACACAAAGCACCACGCTGCCTATTTTATATGGGTTTTATATGAATTTAGGTCCTCATCCTCACACAGAAAGTGCTTTACCCACTGAGTCACACTCCCAGACCTCAACAATTATTTTAATGTGTGTAATACTTTGTAAGACATGACATGATAATGACTTAACCATAGTTGTAATTGGTTACTATTCTCATAGGAATAAAAGTTTTTATATATTTTGTGCTCTTTCCCACTAGTAATATTTTGAAATTTGAGCACCCAAAACGTGAGCAGAAGAATGTATTTGGACATAGAGATTGTAATGAATTGATATTGGTTTATGATGGTCTAATATAACTGGTGTCATTATAGAAGAGGAAAGAGATATAGACCCACATCCATACAAAGGGCTGTGTCAGTGGAAGCCCAAACTGAAGTTCTGCTAAAATGGAAAAAATGTCAGCTATTGCTAGAGAATTATCAGAAGCAGGAGAAAGACAAGAGTTCTCCACCCAGAGTTTCAAAGGATATACTAGCTCTCAATAATTAATTTCAAATATATGTTTTAAAATAATATTTTATTAATTTGTAATTTTCATAGAATGTGTTTTGATCATATTGATGTACCCCCCCCCAATTCCTCCAAGATCTCTCTCTATCCTCATCTCTTTACCCAACATTGACTTTCCTCCTCTCCTCGCCCCCATACAGTTAAGTTTGTGTTACTCGGCTATTTGGAGTGGGGACTGCTATGGAGTGTGGTAAACTTACCAGAGGTCACACCATTAAAAAAGCTGACTGACCCTCCCTTTTCCAGAAGTTATCAAATGTGAATAGCTCCTCAGCTAGGGGTGGAATTTTGTGCTCACCTTCCCTTCTCCATGCTGGGATTTGTCTGGCTGGAGGTGGAGTGAGTCTTGTGTATGCTGTCTCAAACCATGTGTTCAAGTTTGAAATTGCACTGCTTTTGTCTAGAGGGGGGGAACTGTTTTCTGAAAGTCAATCCCTGCCCCTCCTGCCCCCCCACACCTCTGGATCTTATAATTGCTCTATCACTCTCTTCCCTGAAGTTTCCTGAGCCTTGGTGAGAGGGATGTCATACGAATGACCCATTTATGGTTGTGTGATCCACAGCATGTCACTCTCTTCATGTTGAACAGCTGAGCATCTTTGTGTTGTTAATTGCCATCTACTAAAAGAAGAAGCTTCTCTGATGAGAGCTGAGAAATGCACTGTTCTATGAATACAGCAATGAGTCATTACAAATCATTTTAATGCTAATGTCCATTTAGCAGAATGATAGTTTTAGGTTCTCCCCTATAGCCTATGGCCTATCTGGCCACATGATCTTTGGACTCATGACAGGAATGGGTTCCATCTCATGAAACAGGCTGTGATGGTTATTTTTGGTTGTCAACTTGACATCTGAAACTAATGAAAACCCAAATGACTGGGCACACTGTGAGGATTTTTTTTTATTAATTAAATCATTTGAAGTGAGAAGACCCACTTCTAATCTGTACCTTTTTGGTAGGAAGACACACTTTTAATCCAGGTCTTTTTTTTTTTTTTTTTTTTTTTTTTTTTTTTTTTTTTTTTGGTTTTTCGAGACAGGGTTTCTCTGTGTAGCTTCTCTTTGTGCCTTTCCTGGAACTCGCTTGGTAGTCCAGGCTGGCCTCGAACTCACAGAGATCTGCCTGGCTCTGCCTCCTGAGTGCTGGGATTAAAGGCATGCGCCACCACCGCCTGGCTAATCCAGGTCTTTTGAGTGAGGAAGATCAACCCCTAATCTGGAATAATACCTTCTGCTGGCAGGCTATGTAAAGGACATGGAAGAAGAAAGCTTACTCTGTGTCTGCTTGCTCTTGTTCTTGATAGCAAGTCAATTCCTTCACTGGCATTAGAGCCTACTACTTCAAGATTTAGACATATACTGAAGACCAGCTGAGACATCAGCCTTGTGGACTGAACAACTACTAAATTCTTCTGTCTTCCATTTTTAGACAGCCATTATTGGACTAACTTGACCACAGCCTGTAAGCCATTCTTTAAAAAATTCCTCTTGAGATAGAGACTGAGGTAGAAGTATAGATAGATATATTCATTCTATAAGTTTTATTCCTCTAGAGAGCCCTGACTAATACACAGAGCTTAGAATTATCAGATAATGGTTGCTTACATCCACAACATTCATGTCATTATTGCATTAGTGGTCATATCTTGTTAGGTTTGTCATTATTTCAGCTTTCATGGCTCACATTGGGTGAGATTGATGATTATTTTTCTCATAGCATTCATAGCACCTCCAGCACTATATAAACTAGCCACTAGGAATAGAGCTTCCAAGTTAGTACAAAAATGATTTTTTCCTCTTTCATTGAGTCCAATAAATGATGTCTTCAGCAGTAGGGTCTTCCTGTCAAGTTCTGGAAGGTAAACAAGAACATTGGTAATAGTGAATAATGCTTGGGGAGGTATTTATAGATTTCATTGGCCAAGAACTCACAAAGAGATAGCCTAAAGAATGGTAAGACAATGTAGTTCTGTTGTTTTAAATAAAGCTCATGCTACTTTCTTATGGAAGCCCTAGAAAACTAATAGGCTAAGTTAATAACATTTATGATTTTGTAATGCTCTTGAACAGATTTTGAGTTAATTAACATATGAATTTATTATATGATTCCCCCAAAGAAACTTTGAACTCAGAATTGTCCTCAATCTTTGTTCTGGTACAGATTTAGACATGTATTGTTTATGAAAGAAGAGCCATCCTTCCCATAAATTCTCAAAGTCATCTGTGACTTCTACTCCCTATAGAAAACTACCACCCAGAAACCTGTTATAAATCCTGCTTGTGATATCTCTAAATGAATATCTCTATATTCATTTCAAATACTTCTTTGGGCTTTTAGTATTTGTGTTGAAGTCCTGCCTTCTGTATAAATTTGAAACAAGGTCAAAATATTCATGTGAGTAAATAAAGTAATAAATAACTTTAATAGAATGATACCTCACTAACACATGTGTTATAAATAAAGGCTACAGGGTGCTGTTTCAAATGAGCCACAAATTCTTTATCAGTTCTTGTTGTTGTTTTTTTCTCAGTCTTAAATCAATATTTTGTTGTGGTTTTTTGTTTGTTTATTTGTTTTGTTTTGGGGGATTGTTGTTGTTGTTGCTGCTGTTTTGTATTTTTTCTATATGAAAAATATATGGACGTAGAGTTCTTAAAAACTTCAGGTAAAATCTATATTTCTAAAATCCCTTCATTCTGTTTCTGAAGGTATGTGCTGGCAGTCATACAGGAGCTCTATTGGGGTCTTTCTAAATCTGCTTTCTAAACAATATGTTTCATAGTGGTTACCAAGTTCCCAATTTATTACCAAGAGAATTCCCTAAAATATCTCTAGTGTTGGTATTTTTTTTCCATACTATAAATTCTTTGCTTGGTTGGATCAGTACTTGGCAAAGGTGGAATTTTTCTCAGGTAGGTTATGCCAGGAAAAGTAGCTATGGGAAATGTGCATGAAAACACCCTCTTGTCTCTTTATACCATAATAATTTTGTATATCACTGACAACTTGAGCTGTGCATGTGTTTACTTCAAAGTGGGAAAACTAGGTTTTTGATAAAAATATCACTTGGAAAAGCATTTGATTCTCTAAATGGCCCATCACTTCTTATTTCAAAGTTATTGTATTTCATTGTAGAGACAAGAACCCTCATTCTAAATCTTAAAATGAATACTTACCTTTTGCTAGTTCCGCAAGCCTGCTCACACACTCTTAGTAATTATATGGTAGTGCCTTTCTACATTTCAGACATGTCTAACATGATTTTATTTGTTACAGAAGAATTGTATTTTCTTAGTCATTTGATGTGCTGCTCCATGAGCAGAAGCCTACTGTGAGTGTGGATCACCAGCATCAAGGGCTGGCCCTGATTTTAGCAACAGTTCTACAACAATTATAGAAATATCTTAAAGGCTTCTGTTGCTGAGAAGTTTCTTTGTAATAAAAACATAGATAATTCATAGTCTTTTTAATATGTTTTCAAATGAATGACCTTCCTAATACTAAACAAGTCCAAGTCTTAGTCAGAAAGCTGGAACTCCTTGACCTGGCAATTTATACACTTCTCAGACTTTCCAATAATATCAACAGGACAAGACAGGTCATTGCTGCCAACTGTGGCTGAAATGTTCAAAAAGCTTTGGAATAAAGGATGACCTCACACTCTGCATGCCCTTCTGCAGACCAGGCTCCAGCACTGCTTCTAAATAAAGCTCCAAGCATCTTAGCTGAGGATTAGCAGATGCAAACATTTACACAAATATATTTAAAAATGAAGACTCAAAATTCAATTTATAAGAAACAAAGAAAAATATAGGAAGAAGGGGAGGTTAAGGAGCGAAGTTATATGTATTATTATATCAACTTTTCTGTAATTTTATAATTTCTTTTCTATATACTTTCTTTTAAAAATTAGACTCTTTTATGCAATATATTCTGATCATGGTTTCCTCTCCCCCAATTCTTCCCACACCCTCCCTCACTTCCTAGCAGATCCTTCCCACCTCCCCACCCACTCAAATCCAAATCCTTTCTCTTTCTTATTAGAAAACAAATAGGTATCTTAAAAAATAAAGTAAAAACAAACAAACCAGAATGGGACAAAAACAGAAAAGAGAAGAACCAAAGAAAAAGTACAAGAAACATACAGGTGCTGAGACACATACAGAAATCCCATAAGGACACACAACCATAAACCATAATACATAAACAAAATACCTTATTTTGAGGTAGAGAGGCAGAAGGAGATGAAAAGATGCAGACACAGCATTATGTGGGGGAAAAACACAAACAAAAACAAAAAACCCTCCATAAACACTACTAAGCTCGTTTTTGTGTTGGTCATCTACTGTTGCACATGCCACATACAGCCTACCTTAAATGTGGTTTGTATACTTGTAGGCAGAGTTTTCCTCTGCCAGGGTCCACTCTTGAATAACCACTGGGTCTTAATATTAATTGTAAATGATCGGCCAATAGCTGAGGCTTGTTACTAACTAGCTCTTACATATTAAGTTAACCCATTTTTTCTTATCTTGCTTTGCTACATGACTTATGGCTTATTACCTCATTTTCTACATGTCCTGCTTCCTTGGCATCTGACTGGCATCTCCAGACACTGCCCTTCCTCCTCCCAGAATTCTCCTAGCCTGGCTCTCCTGCCTAACCTTATTCTGTTCAGTTATTGGCCAGTCAGCTTCTTTATTAAACCAATCACAGCAACATATATGTAAAGGGATATTCTACAGCATATACTCAGTGAGACTTGCTTGGAGAAAACAAGTAATTTTTCTTTTGTGACAAGGTTATGCGTTGGAGATAACTTCTGGGTTAGGAATGAGGGCTTGTGTCCACTTCTCCTTTCAGCATTGAGAACCTATTTGATTTAGATCTATATAAGATCTGTGTGTGCTGCCATAGTCTCTGTGAGTTCATAGGTTCATTAATCCTGTTGTGTCTGAAAGAAACTGTTCCCTTGGTGTTCCTTCACCATTGGCTCTTATGATCTTTCTGCCTCCTCTTCCTCAGAGTTCCCTGAGACATAGGCAAAAGTATTTGATGGAGAAACCCCATTTAGGACTGAGTGTTCCAAGGTCCCTCACTCTGTGCATGTTGTCCAGCTGTAGGTCTCTATATTTGATCCCATCTACTGTAAGAGAAGTTTTTCTGATGACAGCTAAGCCAGGCACTGATCTATGAGTACAGCACATTAGTTGAAGACATTATTGCTATGTTCTGGTAGCATAACAGTAGTATTTAGTTTCCCTTCAGTCCATGTCCTATATAGTCTCAGGTTCTTGGCCACCTGAGCAGTGTTGGGCATGGGTGCCTCTCACAGAGTGGGTCTTAATTCAAACTAAATGGTGATTGGTTACTCCCACAACTTTTTGCCACTGTTGCACAGTTTAAACTGTTCCTCTCCATAGTCCCTCCCTTAACTATCCTCCCCTCATAATTTGAAGATTTAAGTTTTAAATTATAAAAAAAAAAAAATGGACTCATCAGGTTTTTTAAATTAAGAGGGCCTGGAGAGTTGTCTCAGAGGTTAAAAGTGCTCGCTGGTCTGCCAGAGGACCAAGGTTCAATTCCTAGCACCCACATGGTGGCTCATAACTATTCGGTAACACTGCTTCCAAGAGATCCAACACCCTCTTCTGGCCTCTGTGGACACTGCATTCACATGGTGCACAGACAGACAGGCATGCAAAACATTCATACACATTTTTAAAAAGATGAGCCCTGAGGGAAAACCTAATACTATTATTTTAATTTGAACATATAATAATATAATTCCTAATGACATATTGCTATAACCATAGAAGAGTGCATCATTCAGAGAAGATTCTTCTTGCAGTGAATGGTAATTAACATAGAGACCCACAGCTGTATAAAGTGGAGAGTGAGAGACTTTGGAGCACTCGGCCCTAAATGTGAGGTCTTTGTCAAACCTCTCCTCTCAAGTTTCAGGGATTTGTGCAGAGGAGAAGGCAGAAAGACTGTGAGAGCCAGAGGTGATATGTGATCCAGGGAAACAGCCTCTTCCAGACACAATTCTCAAAATACCATGCCAAGTTTTAAAAAGAAAGCATGGGCATAAAAAGATACATGTATGAACTCACATAGATTTTGATGGTGTGCACACACAAGATTTGCAGGAGTTCAAAGCAGACAAAACCCGAGCATTGAAAAGGAAAGTAGACACAAAGTCCCTCCACTTACAAGGGAGCAATTTGATAAATACAGGCTGAGAAGAGGGAGGTCAGTCTTCTCCAATCAATTGACATTGGGTGTATCAACCATACTCTAGGTCAGACCCTATTCCCAGGAGTAGCTAGATGTGCAAAATGGACTCCATGTTTTTTTGTGTGTGCCTTTTGGTTCAGGAGGTGGGATTTTTGGGGGGTATTTTTTGACATTTTTCATTATTTTTGTTTTATTTTATTTTATTTTTTATATTGATATACTGTTTTGTGGAGCTTTTTGAGAGGAAGAACATGATATTGTGTAGGCAGTGAGTTGGAGTGAATCTGGAAGGAGCTGGGTAGTGTAAAGAATATTATTGAACTATATTGAAGAAAATTTTTAAATAAAAATAAAAGAGAACATGTGGAAAGCTAAGGAGCAGGTCTGGGAGAAATTAGGAGAAGGGGTGGAGGGTGAGCATGATAAAAATACATTATGTGAAATTCTCAAATAATTAATATATTAACTAACATGTTAAATGCAAAAACACAAATTCAAAGTACTACAATATATCAAGGATACAACAAAAGATAATTAAATATCTGGGAAAGAAGTTAAAAAAAACATTAAATGCATCTTAGAAAATGAAATGAAATACCATGTTTATAGAT